CTCTGCAATGTATATGTGTAACAAGGTTTATAATCAGCTTTCTACAAGAGCACATGTGCAAAAGACAAGCTCCAAGGTTGCTTGTGTGCATGTGACTGAAGAAAAACAGGAAGTTGTCACCGGCATAAACAGATGATTAGCAACATGTCGAGCTGCAGCAGCTGTCGTGTTTTGCAGGTGAAACATCGTTAAAGAGACCAAAGACATCATCCCCTGCACAAATCAAAATATATGTCTCATTTATAACTTTAATCCAAAATGATAAAACTTGTGAGCACTTAAACCTCAGTCATACAATGTGAACTCAAAATAATTTTCCACATCATCTGTTCCTTCACTAACCTCTGATTTACAAAAGGATTCACAATGATCCTGATCTGATCATGGAAACACACACACACTCACACACTTTCCTGACTCTGGGGGCTTAAACTGCACTGTCACACACCTAGAGTCAACTATAGTTAACAACTATTTTGATAATTGTTTAGAGCATTGTGACGGCATATCTCACTATTGTCATACATTTTACAAACAAATCTATCAATTAATGGAGAAAATAAGCAGCAGATTAATCCCTAAGGAAAACAATGAATACATGTACTTGGGGAGGCTGTGGTTCAGGAGATACAGTGGCCATTTCCCAGTTGGAAGGTTGGTGATTTGATTCCCAGTCTCCCCAGTCCATGTGTTAAAGCATCCATGGGAAGGCACTGAACCCCTAGTTGCCCCTGGTAGCCAGCCAGCAATTAACAGTGCTGTCATCAGTAAGAAAGTTTCCTTTGGGTACAGTTGTTTTTGGTGGCCTGTTTTTATTTTAGTTTTAGTCTAGTCTTTGTGTGAAGCTGTCATTTTAGTTTTTATTAGTTTTTAGTCACGTTCCGTCCCTGGTAGGCTAGTGATTAAGGCGCAGCGCTCTCGCCGCTGCGGCCCGGGTTCAAATCAGGGTTGCGTCAGGAAGGGCATCCGGCATAAAACACGTGCCAAATGTCAACATGCGAGTCATCATTGTGACGATTCGCTGTGGCGACCCCTAAGCGGTAAAAGCCGAAAGTGACTTTCTATTAGTTTTAGTCACATTCATACACTTTTTAGTCTAGTCAAGTTTCAGTAAACTGAAAGTCTGAGCATTTTAGTCTTATTTTAGTCAGAATTATCCATGACTATTTTCATCCAGTTTTAGTTGACGAAAACTGATGACATTTAGTCTAGTTTTAGTCAATGAAAATTGTATTTTAGTCTCTTTTTAGTAATGCAGTTCTATTTAACCCAGTCAATATAGTATAAGTACGTAGTAGTATAGACGAAACCAAAATTTTCTTTTAGCCAAACCCATTTCAAACATTATATTAGATATCTTATAGACTCAAGAATACCTCCAATACACATTTTGTGTGATTTTGTGGCCGCATTTCTCCCCATCTTTTTCCACAATACATTTTGTTTTCTTTTCTTCTTCTATGTAATGAAAGTTTTTCCAAATATTGTTTCTTCTTTTTCTCCCAAAGATGATGGCTGGCTGGCCATCGGTCCCTTTCTCTGTGTCAGACTTAACTTTGTTTGTTGTCATCTTCTAAATAATGCCGCAAGTGGGATATACATTTAATTATAGTCATGAAATAACGTTTTAACATTTCGTTGCGTCTCGTCTCATTTTTGTCACGTGATAAAGGTTCGTTGACGATGATATTTAGTCAATTTTCGTTGACGAAAGCAACATTACTTTGGGGATTAATAAAATATAGAAAGTTTCAGCAGAGTTTCAGCTCAGCCAACTATACAGTAACAGTCAAATCCTGTTTTTACATCATCCATACATCAGTGATAGACTATTAATGTAATGATATAATATACACTGAACAAAATTATAAACGCAACACTTTTGTGTTTGCCCCATTTTTCATGAGCTCAACTCAAAGATCTACGACTTTTTCTATGTACACAAAAGTACAAAAAGTGGTCTGCAGTTGTGAGGCCGGTTGGATGTACTGCCAAATTCTCTGAAATGCCTTTGGAGACGGCTTATGGTAGAGAAATGAACATTCAATTCATGGGCAACAGCTCTGGTGGACATTCCTGCAGTCAGCATGACAATTGCACGCTCCCTCAAAACTTGCGACATCTGTGGCATTGTACTGTGTGATAAAACTGCACATTTTAAAGCGGCCTTTTATTGTGGCCAGCCTAAGGCACACCTGTGCAATAATCATGCTGCCTGATCAGCATCTTTAAGTTTTAAGTACTCTGTTTTTTTTTTCCTATTTATCTCATTTCAATGGACATTCCTTTGTTTGTCTGCATTGTTTTCTGTCTGTTTATACTGCTTATTCTGCATTTTTTGCACTGTTTGTTGCTGTCAATGTTGCTGTTAATACTGCTTATTTTGTTATATTACACAGCCTTATGCTGGTTTACTGTTTACTTGCCCCTTGCTTGGGGATATGTACATGCACATTGAGAGCCAATGTACCAGAGTCAAATTCCTCCTGTGTCTGACACACCTGGCCAATAAAGCTGATTCTGATTCTGATCTTGATATGCCACACCTGTGAGGTGGATGGATTACCTCGGCAAAGGAGAAGTGCTCACTAACACAGATTTAGACAGATTTGTGCACAATATTTGAGAGAAATAGGCCTTTTATGTACAGTACAATAATAGCAGTACAATGTGACTAACCAGAATAATCCAGGTTTTTAGTATATTTTTTATTGCTACATGGCAAACAAGTTACCAGTAGGTGCAGTAGATTCTCAGAAAGCAAACAAGACCCAGCATTCATGATATGCGCGCTCTTAAGGCTGTGCAATTGGGCAATTAGTTGAAAGGGGTGTGTTAAAAAAAATAGCAGTGTGGCATTCAATCAGTGAGGTCATCAATTTTGTGAAATAACAGGTGTGAATCAGGTGGCCCCTATTTAAGGATGAAGCCAGCACTTGTTGAACATGCATTTGAAAGCCTGAGGAAAATGGGTCGTTCAAGACATTGTTCAGAAGAACAGCGTACTTTGATTAAAAAGTTGATTGGAGAGGGGAAAACCTATAAAGAGGTGCAAAAAATTATAGGCTGTTCAGCTAAAATGATCTCCAATGCCTTAAAATGGAGAGCAAAACCAGAGAGACGTGGAAGAAAACGGAAGACAACCATCAAAATGGATCGAAGAATAACCAGAATGGCAAAGGCCCAGCCAATGATCAGCTCCAGGATGATCAAAGACAGTCTGGAGTTACCTGTAAGTACTGTGACAGTTAGAAGACGTCTGTGTGAAGCTAATCTATTTTCAAGAATCCCCCGCAAAGTCCCTCTGTTAAAAAAAAGGCACGTGCAGAAGAGGTTACAATTTGCCAAAGAACACATCAACTGGCCTAAAGAGAAATGGAGGAACATTTTGTGGACTGATGAGAGTAAAATTGTTCTTTTTGGGTCCAAGGGCCACAGACAGTTTGTGAGACGACCCCCAAACTCTGAATTCAAGCCACAGTACACAGTGAAGACAGTGAAGCATGGTGGTGCAAGCATCATGATATGGGCATGTTTCTCCTACTATGGTGTTGGGCCTATTTATCGCATACCAGGGATCATGGATCAGTTTGCATATGTCAAAATACTTGAAGAGGTCATGTTGCCTTATGCTGAAGAGGACATGCCCTTGAAATGGTTGTTTCAACAAGACAATGACCCCAAACACACTAGTAAACGAGCAAAGTCTTGGTTCCAAACCAACAAAATTAATGTTATGGAGTGGCCAGCCCAATCCCCGGACCTTAATCCAATCGAGAACTTGTGGGGTGATATCAAAAATGCTGTTTCTGAAGCAAAACCAAGAAATGTAAATGAATTGTGGAATGTTGTTAAAGAATCATGGAGTGTAATAACAGCTGAAAGGTGCCACAAGTTGGTTGACTCCATGCCACACAGATGTGAAGCAGTTATAACAAACTGTGGTCATACAACTAAATATTAGTTTAGTGATTCACAGGATTGCTAAATCCTAGAAACAAAAACGTTTGTACAACATAGTTTTGTGTTTGTACAGTCAACGGCAGACACTGCTATTTTTTTGAACACACCCCTTTCAACTAATTGCCCAATTTCACAGCCTTAAGAGCGTGCATATCATGAATGCTGGGTCTTGTTTGCTTTCTGAGAATCTACTGCACCTACTGGTAACTTGTTTGCCATGTAGCAATAAAAAATATACTAAAAACCTGGATTATTCTGGTTAGTCACATTGTACTGCTATTATTTTGAACAATACTGTACATAGAACAAGTCATAGATGTTTGAGTTCAGCTCATGAAAAATGGGGGCAAACACAAAAGTGTTGCGATTATAATTTTGTTCAGTGTATAACAGTATAACGGTATAGGATATATAATATTTGTCTGCATTGAGTATTGTACTTTTACTTTTAATACTTTAAGTACATTTTTGTGGTAATACTTCAACTTTTTCATTCCAGGACTTTTACTTGTAACAGAGTACTCTTATAGTGTGATAGCTGTACTTTTAAGTTAAGGATGTGAATACTTCCTCTACTACATATTTATAATTCTGTTTATTCTTTAGGGTCAGTCTAGCTCTGAGGTCCAGCTTAATCAACTGGCACTGGCACTTGTAATAAAAAAAACATAGAAAAAAATCCACTGGACTAGATTTCTAGGTCAAAGAACTGATGAAGCCTCTTGGATGAGAGATAAAACGTCTTTGACCTAGAAATCTAGTTTTTTTTTCAGCTTACTATGACCTGGATGACTGAGACTCTGCACTGACATCCATTTTGTTTTCATTCCTATGAGTGTCATTGTAGCTGATCATAACAATAGTAATTGTCTAATACAGTACACTGTAATACCATGAAACTGTGATATTTTCTGAGATCTTATACTGTTGCAACCCTACATAGCCTATAATAATATGAACACATGCAAGTCTTGACAAGGTAATTAATAATACCTTTTTGGCCCTCACCAGTGTGTGTGTTTTTTATTCAATCACAGTGAAGGAGGATTGTGGGTCTGATGATGAGGATGACATGAGCACAGATGCCCTGGTGGAGGAGATGCTCCAGCAAGGAGACACAGCTGTCATCTACCCAGAGGCCCCAGAGGACGAGTCACACCGACAGGACAACCCTAACGCTAGAGTCCATGACGAGAATGGTAGGGGATATCAACACACAGCTTTCAAAGCCTTATTCATGTTATAAATAGACTATAAACACAATCTTTTCACCATGGTTTTTGTGTGTACACCCCTTTCACGAGATACTGTTATATTCAATGTGCATTAATTGGTTTAAAATGTTTTCATATCATTATTAGTTGGGCACAGAAACAAGGTGCAGTGTTTCTAAATCACACACACACACACTAAAATACACAGCAGAATTTCCACCCCAGAGCTCACAATCACTGAGCTCTCACACTATTACTGCACCTACCCAGTAATTACTTGCCCCTTGGTGATGGTCCTACCTGCTCCCTGTCTCCCCTCATGCGTTAACTCCACCCCATTAACGCCACTCTCTGATATCATTAGACACAGCGTGATTTGTTAAGTGCAGCACACTGGGCCCTTTATAGCTCCTGGGATTTTGGCTTTTACCTGCTACAACAAAAGGGAGAACAGACAGAGAGGAGGCAGGGGGGTGGAAAGGAAACAGTAACACCTGAGTAAATTTGTCACATTTGTGCAATGTCCGACTCACAGCTACCTGGGCGATAATGTGTGTGCATTCCCATTCCGAGGCCCCCACCTGTCCCACTGGGGAACTTAATACATCACCTGTTAACAAAGTAATGCTTAATTATGTGGGAGCCAGGCAACTGAGACCCTCTGTTAAGCAGCTTGGATCCAGGTGGGCAGCTGCTGTTTACCAAGTTCACTTTTCCTTACTTGTGTGGGTGTTTTTGAAACATTTTTAATGCACAATAGGCAATCAAATAATGCATGTGAACGCTGTAGTTGCTGTGAATTGTACACAAGCAAAAATAAAATTAAGTCCTGCACTGGCAATCCAGTATGCTATGTTTACAAAGACAGGGAGGCATGACTACAGATCACTAAGGAGCTTTTGTTTATTTGGTTACCTGTAGGGGAGGATCATTAAGTGATTGGTGAAACAGCAGAGGAGTTTTATTGCAGCAGGCACTGTAACATCAAACAGCCCTTCCTACTGACCATGTCCTTTGAAACTCTTCTTCTCTTCCTCACTTTATTCTTATCTATGTCATTGAAGTTCTTTTTGTGCTTATTTCATCCAGGTACTCCTGATTCATTCTCTCAGCTACTGACCTGCCCATACTGCGCACGTGGTTACAAGCGTTATAGCTCCCTGAAGGACCACATCAAGTACCGGCATGAGCAGACCGAAGAGAGCTTCAGCTGTCCTGAGTGCAGCTACAGCTTTGCATACCGTGCTCAACTGGAAAGGCATATGACAGTCCACAAGGGTGGACGGGATCAGGTAAACACTGACCAGCAAACTGTCAGGACTTGACACCAATTAAAAAACACATTCACTGGATAAACTGAAAAATTTTCTGTTCTGGCATCTTCTGCCGTTTAATAATGTGAATATGTATTTCTTCTCATAGTGTTCCAAGTTGTAAGTGAAAAAGCAATTTTAACAAGCTTCTAAATACTTAATGCAACCATGTGATTTATGAATTTTTAAAGCCTGTTTTAAGAGCATTCTGCTACTTTGGTACTACATTAATACATTATGTAAGACTGAGTGAAACCAAACAGTGTTTTAATATTCATACTGTATGTCATTATTTTCATAGATCAGTTTTCACTAGACATTTTTATTTTCCAATAGTCAGTGTAGCTGTATTATTTATGATTTGTTTCACTAGGATGCCACTTGTGTTGTAGTAAATATGTACTGACGGAGTGATTCTAAATTATGCAGACCTAAACGGAAGACCAGTCCTGCTGCTTTAGCAGCTCACTTCCAAACATGATAAATAAATATGAACTTTTGCCCTTGATTGATTAATGACATTGTGACATGAAATAGTAGCAGTTCAAAGGTCGTGTTTTCATTGTGTATCTCACTGAATGACCCCTCTCGCCTTTCAGAGACACACCACACAGTTGGGAGGCAATCGTAAATTCAAGTGCACTGAATGTGGCAAAGCATTTAAATACAAGCACCATCTGAAGGAGCATCTACGCATCCACAGCGGTGAGTGGACAACCCCTGTCACCATGAAAGCATTCTGAGTGGTTATGGGCGTGGGCATGCACTGGAGCAAGTTTGCTGAGTGACTTTGCTGAATCTCTGTTGGTCACAGATGTTTCATTCTCCAATGAACCAATGTTTTTGTTTTAGCAAATTCACTCTATTTAGATATCATTCATTGTGTTTTAGTCCGTTGTGTTCTTTTCTTTAATGTGCTATAATTGTGCTTCATGTAGCATTACTGGACAGCAAATAGAGAGGGGTACTTCCCAAAGGTGCCATTACATCAGCGTTTAAGTATCCCTGAAATGCATTAGACTTTTTTCCTGCTGTAGTGCTCATAGCCTAGGCTTTCTCGTTTTACTTCATTCACTAATGGAAATCTGTTTCTCTCTTTCTGTCCATCTTATTCTTTCTCTCCCTGTTACACATTGTGGTTTTATTCAGGAGAGAAACCCTATGAGTGCTCCAACTGCAAGAAGCGGTTCTCCCACTCAGGCTCATACAGCTCTCACATCAGCAGTAAGAAGTGTATCAGTGTCATCTCAGTTAATGGCAAACCACACTTGGGGAACACTAAAACCCAGGGTTCATCACCAGTACTGCCCACACGACCTTTAGTCCTTCACACCGTGATTAGGGAGAACCTGGAGCATGTCAAGCCCCTGCAGGAGCAGCTGCCCCTTAACCAGATCAAGACTGAGCCTGTGGACTATGAGCACAAGCCAACTGTGATAACATCCCCAACTGCGACTGCAGTTAATGGTGGGGTTTTCAGCGGAGGTGCTGCAGCTCCTTTGCAGGGTACAGTGCAGGCTGTGGTCCTGCCCACTGTTGGGCTGGTGTCACCCATCAGCATCAACCTGGCAGACCTGCAGAACGCTCTCAAAGTGGCAGTGGATGGTAACGTCATTCGACAGGTGCTGGAAAACAATGCCAAAGGCCAGGTTCTCAACTCAGGATTAACCAGTGGAACCCCCCCACAGCAGCAACTCATTTCAGCCATCAGTCTGCCAATCATGAGTCAGGATGGAAATGCAAAAATCATTATAAACTACAGTTTAGGACCCAGTCAGAGCCAGCTCATATCCCAAAAACTTAAGAAAGAGCTTGAGCCAGACTCACAAACTCAGACCACTACTGACACATTCAAGTCCCTGAGACTCCCAGAAGAATGTATGATTAAAAGTACCAGGCCCAATGAGACTAAAGAGAAAGAGGAAAAAACCACTAAGACTTGTCTCTTGTGTGATAACTGTCCTGGTGAACTGGAAGCATTACATGCCCTCAAGCACTGCAAGAAGAATTGCCTTAAGTTAAACGAAGCAGGCCTGGATAAGTCTGAGTCTGCGTTTGCTGCCCTGCTGTCAGAGGGAGGACTCTGCAACCAGCCCACCAACCTCTTGTCTCTGTTTAAGGCCTACTTTGCCTTAAATGCAGAGCCAACAAAGGATGAGCTGGCCAAGATCTCTGATTCAGTCAGTCTGCCAATCCAAGTGGTTAAGACGTGGTTTGAAAAAATGCAGGAGGGTCAGATATCACTGGGTGCCCCAACACCGCCCTCAGAGGAAGAGGACATCTCTGATGCTGCCAGTGTTGTGTCTCTGGCTCCAGGGATGGACACAGCCACTATGAGCCCTTCTGTGGCCCAGGACGGCCCTACAGAAGCCACCCTAGTAGAAGTCAACGGTGCTTACAGTTTGCCAGACTCGTTTTTGCCACTAAACCTGACAGTTGCCAGTCCTGTCCCAGTCCAGCCCCCCCAAAGCACTGACGGACCCCTAGACCTATCACTACCAAAGCTCACCAGAGAAGAAGCAGAGAGAGTGGTGACTAAAGCTTGTGTTTACCCCTCCCCTTTCTCTGGTTCTAACCATGAAGATGAACCCCTGAACTTAAGTTGCACAAAAAAAGAGGCATCACCACTCTCAGACATGGGCTCCAACCATTTTGCACTGTATGCCAGCCAGCCATGTGCCAAACCCCTCGACATTGTGACTACAATGCAATGCCTGAGGACACTAGCTACAAGCAACAAACAGACTATTCTGATCCCCCAGCTGGCTTACACCTATACCACTACAATAAACAGCACCGTGGGGACCGAGATGCACAGACCCATCCGCCTCGACGGATTGAAGGTGTACAACCATTTATGTCCCCAGTTTAGCAACAATTGAGCTTTTCTGTTTTTGTTAAAAGTAAAGTTTGACATTTTGAGAAAGAACGCCCATTTGCTTTCTTGCCAAGAGATGGAAGAGAAGCATACCTGTATGTTAAATATCAAGCTACAACAAGTAGCCAGTTAGTTTAGCTTAGCACAGAGACTGGAAACATTTAGCCAGGTTCTACCACAAAGTGACAGAATCCACCTATCACCACCTCTAAAGGTATTATAATTGACTCATTTTATTAATCCATATAGAAACCACAGTGAAATTTCAACTGTGGATGTCGTCGGCTGGTGGAAGGAGTACTTTGAAGATCTCCTCAATCCCCCGACACGCCTTCTGTAAAGGAAGACAGGGCTGGGTACTCGGGAGGGGACTTGTCCATTACCCTGCCTGAAGTTGCCGAGGTAGTTAAAGAGCTCCTCGGTGGCAAGGCTCCGGGGGTGGATGAGGTCCGCCCCAAGTTTCTCAAGTCGAGGCGGGTGCGGGTTTTCAAAGTTGGACCCATGGAGGACTCTACTGTAAAGCCTACTGTATACAGACAGGAAATTATTTTTTGTTTTCATAGCTACCAGCATTTCAGAGTTAGTCTTTGTTCATCTAGCTTTATTGTAGCAAACATGTTTGACTCTAAAACTCTTACTTTGTAAACCAATTGATTTCCAGATTGGAATCAAGTTATATTTTCTCTTTTTGGATGAATCAGTCAAACCCCCCCCAGTACAGATCACATTGTTTAAAACCACTGAAACACATTAGTCCGAAAGCACCCAAAATCTAATCAGTACTGTAAGTCATATCTAGAAATGGCAGACCTCTCCTTTTTATAAGAGTGATTCTTCATGATGCAATCGGGTGTGAGTGATCTTGGGCTGTCAACCAGAGTATGAGAGACTGCACTTTACTGCAGAGTCTCTACTGATCTGCTGAAATCTGTTTAGATGTTGACCTCTGCCTGCCTTATTGATTTATTGCTGTTGCATTACACCTTTGTGTTAAGTGGATTGGCGTAGACCTGCATTGAAAAAAAGGCCACTGTGTATTTTGAAGAGCAGATGAGGATAATCCCAGGGACAGGAGAAAGCTACAGATGTGCTCATAAATGAACAGTATCAAGCCAAGGAAAAGATTAGTAAAATTTCCAGACAGAGAAACATTTTATATAGAGTATACATACAGTGTGTTTGAAGCAGACATCTCAAATATAATGGTATCAGTGCTTCTTTGAATATGCGAGGCGGGGGCATATCCCATAGTGTGAGATGTCACACTATGGGATATGCCCCCGCCTCGCATATTCAAAGAAGCACTGATACCATTATATTTGAGATGTCTGCTTCAAAGCCCTCCACCTTTATACAGGACCATGTTCTTGCTTTGCCCCAACAGCAAGAAGGGCAGTCTGATGAGACATCTTACTCATTCTCCTACAAAGTAACAAAAGTAACCTAAAGTGCCAAGCTGTATACTGACAGCTGAAAAGCTGCCAAGACCACTGGAGAACTTGGACTGCTTACCTTTAAATTGGAAGTTGGATTAGGTTTTGAGGTTACCACAAAGTTATCAGGGTTGAACCCCATACAAGCAAGATGCACAGACAGAGCAAATGTCACTCACATTTAGCTGTGACCAAGGCCAGCAACAAAGAAACCTTAAAAGATAATTCATGTCTAAAGGTGAAAATGGCTTTAAAAAATCCTAAAAATAGGATTATTAATTAGGCCCTCCAGAGCCATGGCCAAGTCACGGGAAGGTGAAATCAGCTTGGAGAATGGTAAGCGTCTCCATGCTCTCTTCATGAAGTGAAGATCCAGTGGATGCTGACCCACTTTCATCAAAACCAGGATGGTTAGTCGGAATGGCAGCCAGGTACACTTTGACAGTAGAAAAAGCATACTTGTTAGTTAATTCTTGTAGAAAGGGCAAAATTGCATTCACTGACCACTGGAAGGGAATTACCTGCACCTTAGCACACCATTCCTCAAGCACTATTTGACATTTGTCAAAGATGGAACTAATCTTAATTAACTATATCTGTCTGAATCTCAGTTAACCCCAATATCTCTGCCAAGTGTCTTTACTATACAGGGCTACAATATGTTTAGACAAGATCAATAATACAGTAAGGCAGGTGTGGTTATGATCTATGTTAAGGAATCAATTCAATGTAAAATAGAAAAAGTAAAATTTCTAAAGAAATTTTAGGTGTTCCTGCAGCCTCCCCTTGCACTACCGCGCTGCACTCAATACTGGATGTTTCAATTTCACTGAAGTCACCAGGGATAATTTAGATAAATGAGGAGTAGTGGGAGAATGTTTTTGAGCTACATAAACCTGATACAGTTGTTACTGAATTATAATCTGTGTTGGAATCAACAGGAGCCTGTAATATGGGAGTGAGCCAGGGATCAATTCTGGGGCCATTGTTGTTTAGCTTGTACCTCAGTGATTTAAGTACTTAAGTGTTATTTTGGATTCTACTCAGATTCAATTAGCATAATACGCGGATTAGAAATTGGTTTGCATTAAATTACAACTTGTCTATTTTCAGATATATTCAAAACTCACTTTTTGTCCATTGTTCTTGGTAAATAAATAAATCAAAATGTTAAAAAATATAAAGGTGGAGGGTTTTGATGCAGATGTCATGACTCCCAGCCCCACAGGGTCTGCTTAATTGTTAGTGCTTTTTGAATATGTGAGGGAGGGAATATCCCATAGCAAAACATCAAAATGAAATTTATGAAAGTGAACTCCTGAAGTCCTGCTAGTGTGTCAGTATGATTTCTTTTATTCATCAGGAGGAAAAACAGGACACAGGCTCAGGGAGATTGTCTACAATGGAGGAGCAGAATGACTCAGACTCAGGTCCTCCGAGGAAGAAGATGAAAAAGACGGACAGCGGCATGTATTCCTGTGACCTGTGTGAAAAGATCTTCCAGAAGAGCAGCTCTTTGCTGAGACACAAATACGAACACACAGGTAAATACAAATTCTTGTACTATCTCAAGCCTACACATGAACACAGCCAACACTGATTCTGAGCTAAACAACAAGCAAAACCAGAACTTGAGTCATCATCACACAAGCTTTTTCATGGGAAAGATGAGCCAGTGTGCAAAAGCAGTGGATAATGAGCTACAGTGGACACCTCTATTCCAGCAGGTATTACTCAACATGCATAGAAGAGGTCTGAGAATTTCTTTCCACCAAATCCCCACCTCTGCATGGCCAGCTTCTCATGTGGAGCACCAAATGTTGCAAGAGGCGAGCTCTCATAGTGATTACTCTTAGATGATGATAGCCAATCTCAGGTCAGTGCTCTCAGTGGCATTTTAGCTTTTTATTACACTGATATCCGGCTTGCCGTCCCTGGTAGGCTAGTGGTTAAGGCGCAGCGCTCTCGCCGCTGTGGCCCGGGTTCGAATCAGGGTTGCATCAGGAAGGGCATCTGGCGTACACGTGCCAAATGTCAACATGCGAGTCATAAGTGTGACGATTCGCTGTGGCAACCCCTAAAAACGGGAAAAGCCGAAAGTGACTTTCTTTCTTTCTACCTGGCTTGCAACCACTGCTTTCAGATCCAAATGACCTCATCCTAGGTGAAACTAGCTACTCTCTGTTGCACCTGGACAAAGTTTCTTTGACAGTTTTCATAGCACAATTGTGATTTTTTTGTATTGTTCATCTACACTATTGTTACCCTGGTATTTATTGTGTGGATGCTGTAGCATCCACACTCTTGTTATCCTGGCATTTATTATTCTGATTTCTTCCGTACGTTTTTCAGTGCTTAATTTCTTCAGCATACTTTCAGCTACAAAAGCCATTCAGGTATCAAAATGTTCAGCTTTTTAAGGACGTGTGCTTGTATTTTTCTTGTTTGTAACATTTATACTTTTTCATATATTTAGCCTTTTTAGCTAATTTTATGCCATTCAAATGAATGGGAAAAATTTTCACATCTTAATAACTTCAGCATACCTTCACCTAAAAACACCATTCCAACTGTTATCTATTCAGCAACTCTTCAGCTATTCATACTCAGCTTTTTGATATCTTTTACAGTTTTTGCATAATTACTGTTTATATTTTATGCCTCATTTCAATAGCCACACCATAGTAGTCCTCAGGGTGTAGGACCTCTCTCTCTCTCTCTCTCTCTCTCTCTCTCTCTCTCTCAAAACATTTCAACTGTTAACCCAATCAGCAACGATTCAGCTATTCATACTGTAAACAGCTTTTTGATATCCTATGGTTTTTTTGCATAATTGCTGCTTACATTTTATGCCTCATTTCAATAGCCACACCATAGTAGTCCTCAGGGTGTAGGAACACTCTCTCTCTCTCTCTAACAGCTTTTTGATATCCTATGGTTTTTTTGCATAATTGCTGCTTACATTTTATGCCTCATTTCAATAGCCACACCATAGTAGTCCTCAGGGTGTAGGACCACTCTCTCTCTCTCTCTCTCCCTCTCTCTCTCTCTCTCACACACACACACACACAACATTCACTTACTTGTTTTACCTACTTTGTGGGGCCATTGGGAAAATATTCACAGCTTAATAGGTTCAGCATACTTTCAGCTACAAAAGCCATCCAGGTATCAAAATGTTCAGCTCTTCAAGGACATTCCCGTCTGTTTTTTTGTAACATTTATAGTTTTTACAATATTCATCTTTTTCAGCAAATTTTGCCCCATTCAAATGAATAGGCATAACTTTCACAACTTAAGTTCAGCATACCTTCAGCTAATAACTGTTAACTATTCAGCAACTCTTCAGCTATTCATACTGTAAACTGCTTTTTCATATCTTTTATGTTTTTTTTGCATAATATCTGTTTACATTTACTATGGTGTCCAGTACTGCAAGGGCTTTAGTATCATCAACACACTAACGCTAAAATAAAAAGGGGTGGTTCCAGTCATTTTAAGGACAGTACACAGTGGAAGCACTCTACATATGCCGTCCTTCAGGAGTTACACTTTCTCAGTGTATTTAGTGTGTAGTGCAGGTCACACTGTCATCATTTCCTCCAGTGAGATGTGGGTAAACAGTGCAGTCTCTCACAAAGCAAACAAAATACATGATTTAAATGTCTGCTGTACGTTGAAGGTCATTCATCCTCTGCCAGCAGAGATTAACAGCTTCTGGCTTTTTACCCTTCAGTGCCATTATGTTCAAAGATCAAAAATATTACCCTTTGTCTGAAATTGACAGCTATTTATTTATATACTTCCCCCTTGCATGGGGATATGTACATGCACATTAACAGCCGATGTACCAGAGTCAAGTTCCTCGTGTGTCCTACACACCTGGCCAATAAAGCAGATTCTGATTCAAAGTCTTCACCTACACAGATAAAACAATTACCACAAATCCGATTAACACTGCATTTCCAGCTGTGGCCTGAATAATGTCAAAATTGCAGGTGTCATGAAAATAATTTACTAATAATTTCACTAAGTGTGCATTTATCAAGTCTTCATTCATATATAGTATGTGAACTTGCTGTTGTATGACCACAGTGTCAGCACACTGGCAGACTAGGAGGGAGTAGGCCAGAAGAAGTGGGAAGAGAGAAAGAAAATGAGTTATATTTCTTAACAGATATACTACAAGCTCATGTCAATTTTGTTTTCCCACAGTGGAATACTTAAAATGATAATTTATTTAAATAAATTGATGAAGGCCTATGTAATTCCTGTTGAAAAAGTTTACTATGCTGGGAAGGCATTCAACACTTTAAACAAATACATTACTTTAACCATTACAAAGTCATATTTTATTTTTACTTACTGTTCAGAGGCAGTGGGGAATCACAGACAGTCATGGTATGCAACTAGAGACATGAAGACAGAAAATGGAGAGTTTAGCTTTTCACTTGTCAGTAATGAACAGATTAATAATCAATATACACTGATGAGGTATAACATTATGATCACCTGTGTTATGGTGAGCACTCGCGGAGGCGAGTGAGCAAACAGGCTGGAAACGGATGGCAGGTGCGACACTGATCACAAACTTTATTACACTGAGAAAACAAGTTATGGAGATAACAGTCAATATGCTGGAAATGTCTGCCAGAGGAGGCAGAGCTCGAGGGGTCCACAGATGGGGAGCTGGAGGTGGCAATGCAGGGCAGATGGAGGAAATGAAGACAAGCTCAGACAGGTGAGTATAGCCGGCGAACTCAGGTGGGGTAGAGCGGAGATGGCTGGGCTCGAGGAAGATGAAGAGGAGAGATGACTGGCAGCAGGTCACTCAGGCAGAGGCAGAACGGAGAGTGTCAGAGGTGCAGATTGCTGGAGTAATGACGGGAAACCAAGGAGTATAGGCAGAAGAGTGAGGAGTAAACAGTCTTACTTTTTAGTAGCGCGATACTCAAAGTGTCACTGAGCGAGCATAGCTTCTTATATGATGAGGCCAAAGGATACGAAGGGATTCGTCAATGTACTAGCGAGTAGTGATTGTGCGCCAGCGTCTTAAGTACTGCCGTCTGTGATAGGTAACTTACCTCAGCTGTGTGGTACCTCGGAAGCCACTGATGAGATGATGCACCTCAGCTGCATGCACTGACCTGTAACAGAGAATCAGAAGAGAAGAAAGAGTGAGAAGGGAGAGAGGCAGGTGGCGTAGAGCAAACCTGACAACCTGTACATCTGTATTTAGTGATGCCATACGAGGCCCCATGAAGCTTTGAACCCTTTTGGACCATTGTATTGAAAATTGGTTCACTACTCGAAGCTTCATTCATTGAGCACGTGGGTGACATCTGCTGGTGCAGTCGTTGTTGTGCAGCCTTGCAAAGGTGACACTGATGCACCTTGCGTGTGCATGAGTTTTGTTTTAATGATGAGTTTTTTTGTAATGTGGAAATTACCTAAATAAAGCTGAAATCTAACTTCATTTTACGTGTCTGTTTTTCTTCCTTGCCTTATAAGGTATCTGAAGTGAAATGTTGAATACCTAAGTAATCCTCCTTCCCCAAGAACTCTTAAGAATATGAAATGGATTTATAATTATTCATCCCAAATTACACACTGGACAGAGTAAATATGTACAGGGTTCAATGATGCTGTGGATGTAATTAATGTTCTGACAATTTAATACAATACATTATGTGTTCTGATTGTGCTTGGTGTACACTGGGTGTGTTTGTTTGACTCAGGCATTTTTATAAAAAAAAAATAGAGTCTCCACAGTGGATGGTTTTAGGCGATTTTGCTTTTTTGAGACAACTTCCCCAGATTTGGAGAAGACCTTTTCACATGGCACAGAAGATGCTGGTGTCACCAGGAACTGTTTGGCCAGGTTGAACAGGTGTGGGTACAGGGATTTGTGCCTCGAACAGTAACCTAAGGGGTCCTTTGATCTGTCCAGAGGAGGAGCAGACAGATATCGCTGAACCTCCACAATGAAATCTGCAGTAGCGTTCTGAGATTTTCTGTCTTCTTCTGCATCTTTGTCAAGAAGCTTCCACAGGTCAATGCCTGAAAATAAAACATTACAGGACATTTATAAAGCATCTAATTACATACAGATAAATATATAAATACAAATGTGATTAATGGTGTAGCAGGTTCTGGCTGTGCCGGTGTTGATCATGTTGATTAAACGTGTTTAGGTTGTGTGACAGAGCGGCTCTGTCATTGACTGCGTACACACATCTCACACACACACTTAGTGGACGGACACGTCATCCTGGTAGTATTAACAGGCATTGATGATGTGTTGTTGTTATCCATCAGCTGTTGAGGACAGCGCAAACACCTCACTTATGAAATCACAGTGAGATCAGTGTGTGATTTATTCTTCCTGTGTTTATTCGGAGGGGACTGTAAACTTGGACATCCATTGTATTAATAACAGACTTGACAATAAGGCTTGAATCTTTGGAATATAATTTATCTTATTGCAATGGCACCAATTCAAAATGTTCCCACACTTGTGACCGTTTCCATGATGGCTCCATAGCGAGGCAATCCAAAATGTGTTGACAAGACGTAGGACAGAGCGATGTTTCATCCACCTTAAATACATTTGTATCGCGCCAACATTTCAAAGCTCCGGCTATCGGACCAAACCAGTCAGCTGATTCAATCTGAATGAAGCAGAAGTGGTTCGAACGTCATCAGTCACGTGGTTTTTCCTGATTTGAAGCAAGCTCCGGCACAGTGCTTCAGAAAAATATCCTTCCGAGTTTGAAGCAAGCTTCGGAGCCTCGGTATCAGAGGGAACATCACTATCTGTATTCACTTCAGTGCAACACTTCTGCCTTAACATTTGTGTTTATGAAACTCAAAATATTTCAGTTTTTGGTGAGAATCTCATAAATGTATAAATTCTATTATATGTTCATTATTGAGGTCATAGTTAATATCTGCTGTACATGTGTAAATATGCAATGAGTCACTGTAGTTACCTTACAACTAGCAAGTATTCAGAAACAAAACAAGAAAATAAACTAATTATATAGTTGGCAAAATTCTGCTCCCTCTCAGTACCAGTTTGGCTGTAGCAGCTGTTAATCATGGCCAGCATGCACATTACATCGTTACCTTATGCAGGAGTGTGGTTTGTGCTGTAGCTAGCAGCAATGACGTTGTGGGAAAAAGCAACAGGTTAGCTGTCTCAGCTCCCATTTACCACTTGTGCTGCCATGTGAATTACTCTGTAAAGTCACCTTTAGCGCTGCATTATGTTTATCCATTAAACCTTCAGTTAACATGGTACCATTAGCTTAGCGGTTGACATTAAAGGGTTTAATTTTCATTCTTTGCCTTCATACTGTGGTGGCATGAGTTACATATAAGCAATAAGCCGGTTGTGTCATTTAAACCACCTAAGTTGAATTTTCACGTTAAAAAAATTAAGTGCACATTGACTGCTACTCACCTAAAAACACCGCAGATCGAAGCCGATCGGACAACTTACATGGTTGCATTCAGGGGCACTCGGAAATTCTACCTTCGGGAGTCGCAAAAGTTATATTTGGTGACTTCTATGCCTGAAATGCATTACTTCAAACACTCCACCTATCTATCATACCATTACTCAGTTGTGCATATTGAACCGTAATGCTGCCAGGTTAAATAGAGGTATGAACAAAAATAATGCACATAATAATGCTCCGTTCATGAAACACTTCAGCACTTAGTTCTAAAATGTGTTTCAGTGAAACTACAGCTGATGTTGTTGTCATTCTCTGAACCTTGTGGATTGTATCACTCCTCTGTTTCAGATTGTGTGCTCTTTCTATGTACACTAGATCAGTGTTTCTCAACTGGTGTCACCCTGGGGCCCACTTTCCAACCCATTTGTCAAGTCGCGACCCACCAGTACAGGATTTCAAATAAATTAATTAAATTATAAAGCTTTTTTTTTTTAAACATAATCAGTACAGCCTTTGTGTTAGATTTTTCTGTCTGCATTGAGGAAATGTTACTCAAAAATAAACAACTGCTGCATAACACCACATAAATACAATAGTCGAATAACACAACAGGGTGCTGTATATGTATAAAACTGAATGCAGAACTGCAAACACAACATGATAATACTTTATAGTCTCTTTTCACTTAACATGTAAGCAAGATTTTATTTTACAGTGAACTAATAGGATAGCTGTAGTTGTCCTTTAGTTTTGACAAGAGTTTCAATGTCTGGGCTGATCAGAGCTACTCTCAGATCATGTTCAGTGTCCAACCCGTTCCTTTGCTTTGACTTGAGCTGTACCAAAGTGGAGAAGCCACTTTAACACAGATTGGTTGTTGTGAACAGTAGGATTGCTTTGATTGCTAATGTAGTGAGGGAGGGATATTCAGACCTCATGTATTTGCACCAGAAATGGGGGAGCCTTACCTCATCAAATTTCTTTCTCAGCATCTGGTCACATGACAGCTCGACCAGCTGATTCTCCTCGCTGCTTGGCAACACAGCACTTTCCATGTTGATTCCAAAGGGATCTCTTAAGTGAGCATGTAGACTGGTCAGATGCACAGTGATAGTTATTTTCAGGGCATTTTTGGCCGCTGTATTTAGCTCTCCTGCTGCATGGCAAGTGTTGGGAAACATGTCGAGTTTGTTTTTAGTCAGTGATTTATCCACAACCTCAGCTTCTTTTTGAAGGCAGTGACTTCAGTCAGGCAAGTCTGTTCAAAGATGTGTCCTCTCCCCTGCATAGACGCGTTTAAAGTGTTGAGGTGCTCGAACACATCGGCAAGATACACCATGTGTATGAGCCAGAGTTAATCACTGAGCATCTCAGTGTATGGGGAGTTATTGTGTGAGGAAGGTGGCGATTTCATGTTTAAGCTTGTAAAAGCATTACTTTTCCCCTCAAAAGCCAGCAAACTTCTGAACGATACAACAACTGGACATGCTCTGATCCCAGGTCTTTGCACAGCTGTGTGAAACAGCGACTGTTCTTGGCACTCCATTTAATGTAGTTCACTATTTTTATGGCATCTTTCAGTGTTGTATCAAGCACTGGCACCATATCCTTAGCCACAAGTGCTTCTCGGTGAGGAAAGCAGTGAGTCCATGTCGCATTCAGCGCTCTCTCCAGGATTTTTTCACAACTCCTGAGTTTTTTCCAGTCATGGAAGCTGCGCCATCAGTTGTTACCTCCACACAATTGTCTCAACACAGTACCAGAGTCCAAAAACAAATCAATAGCGCTGAAAATGTCCTCTGCCTTTGTAGATGTGGGGAGGTCTCGGCTGCATAGAAATTGCTCCTGTATGTCTCCATCCCACACGTGTCTCACATAAACAAGCAAAATGGCACGATTAGCAATATCTATTGACTCATCCATCTGCTATGCATAGTAAGCACTGGCCTGAATCCGTGCTGAGGTCTGTTGTTTTATGTTGGCTGACATGTCTTCAATGCACCGCATTATGGTGTCATTAGATAGCGGTATGGTTTTCAACTTTTCCACTGCTGACTGGCCTAATACCTCTCTGACCATGTCTAGGGCCGCAGGTAAGATGAGCTCCTCTGCTATTGTATGTGGCTTCTTGGCCTTTGCTATATGTTGAGCTACGAGGTATGAGGCCCATAGTGCCTGCTCTGATTTGGAACAGGACAGCAATCTCTTCTGGGTGGTCATCAGGTCCCGAAGTAGTCTTTGAAAGTATTCAGCTGGTTTTTTAACTTGGACAGCTTCATACTTTGTGCCAATACTTCACTGCATATCACACATTGAAGCTTATGTCCATTTCTATAGGTCCGAATCATATTTTGCTTCGCCATCTTAACAAGTGGACCTATCTTCAGTGAGTGTACAGTGTCAACCGCCAATCAAGGCTTGTCATGGCAAGGTTAGGCCTCTGCATAGCACGCAGGCACGCATTTCAAAACAAATCCCCACGTTAGATACTATCTAAGCATTTGAATCCACAACAATATATTGCTCTCAAAAACAATTTTATTTTTTTTTCACCATTTCTCTCCCTGCACTAGATTGTCAGCTGCACCCGATGCTCTGCAATGACTGTTTCATTGTCCATTTTGTGTCCAAGCTTAGTAACATGTGCACAGTCATTCTGTGCATATCATCCTTCAGCTATTTCAACAAAGAACTTCAGCCATTAATTTTCACCATTCAGCTGTTTCAGCAGTTGATTTCAGGCACTTTCAGGGCGATCCTCATGATGTTTAATTTCAATAGCTACACTGTAGTAGTCCTCAAGGTGTAAGACAACTCTTTCTCTCTCACACACACACCCACCCCTACTGTTTTATCCCACCCACACACACACACGTTTGTTTTCCACACTTTGTGAGGCCTGTTGCCACAACTTCAGCTTTTGATTTCATCTTATAAAGTAATTACTCATATTTTTCTTTTCATTTTTCATAGTTATTCAACAGTTTTTTCGACTTCCATAATTGTTCAGCACTGCATCTCATGCTTCAGCTGTTTCAAACTATTTCTGTCATTTCTTCACAACCTTCAACTATTTCAACAAAGAGCTTCAGCCATTTCTTCTCATCCTTCAGCTGTTTCAGCAATTGATTTCAGGTATTTCAGCCTTTTCAGGGCGATACTTCAGCATTACAGCATCCACACGCATTTTCGACAGGAAATGCATTTTTCTAGTTGTATGGATGCTATGTTATCCTGTTCTTTATTGTGTGGATGCTATAGCATCTACACTATGTTTTCCTCTTATTTATTATTGTGTGGATGCTTCAGCAGCCACACTCTTGTTTTCTATTTTTATTATTATAGTTTCTTCCGTACGTTTTTCGCCACTCATCTCCTCCCACATGCTTTCAGCTAGACAACCCATTCTGGTATTAAACTGTTCAGCTTTTTAAGGACATGATGGCATGTACTCAACTTTTTTATAACTTTCATACTTTTTCATAAATTCAGCTTTTTTCACCAAAATTGTCCCATTGGAAATGAATGGGAAAAAGTTTGAACCTTAATATCTCTGGCATACCTTGGGCTAGAAACGCCATTTCAACTCTGTTCAACTCGTGAGAAGTTCA